GGCGACCCGACGGCCCAGGACCGCAAATCCAGAATTCGCCTCGCTCCCTCGCCCGGGAGGCCCGTTGCGCAGTTGCTGGGAGGTTGGAGCGACTCGCCCTTCTCAGCTCCGGAGCCGCCGTTCCCTCTCTCTGAGCCAGACGTCACGCTGGGCGAGCTGCCCGACTTCACCTTTAAAATAACCCCCGGAGGGCGTGGCTGGCATCGCCCGGCCCAGCCCCGCAGAGTTGGCCTGGCTGGCAGCGACTCCGGTCTGTGCCTGGAGAGAGCGAGGAAGAGGGTGAGGGCAGGGCACCCTCCGGAGGAGATGCCCGTTGAAAACCATCCAGAGCAGCAGTAGAAACAGTTGGTGTCGCTTTGTTTTGTTTATAAACTGACCGTTTGTTTTCTTTCCCGGCGAAATGTTATGTGGGTTAAAAGAAGAAATGGCTCCCCAAGAGCTCACCCGGCGACTGGCCACAGTGACCACTCACGTCGGTAAGTGAAGTTTTTTTTTCTTCTCTTGCATTTTATTAATGGAGGGGGCGGGCGGAGTAGGCCGGGGTCTCCTCTCCCCCTGCCCTCACCCGCAGCCCGGGGGCGGCGCCCTCCCTGCGAAGGCCGTGGGCGCGCGCGCCCTGCGCCTGGGCCTCGCCGCTGCTCGGGGCGGTCGGTAACAGGCATCCTTGGGGGTTGTCAAGTCTGTTGGGTCTTAAACCGCGAGGTCTACTGAGCTTTAGAGGATCCATTACCTGCTTCCGACCAGGGACTCGGGGTGAGGGCTTGTGTCGTAGTTTACCAGGTAATGGGAGCAGGAGGGAGAAATGCAGGTGTTTCGGGCAGAAACTGCTGCCAAACCACTGGAGGCTCCTAGTGAAACGTGCGTCCTTCCCCCACCCCTTCCCTGGACACATCCAGGGCGGGCGCCTTTGGGTGGGTGTGACTAGAATGTCGGGTCATTTTCTCTGGTGCTCACTTCACTTTGAGACCCTTCCGTGAATGCTAATCAGTTTCCACTGATAAGGAGTCTGGAAGTTTTCACCTGTGTTCCACGCATTTGTTAGAACTGCCTTCTTGGTGATTATATGTGAAATCTTAATTGAATTAGTGAGTCATCCTTGCTCTTTGGGGGCTTTAGTTCAGTGTGTTTACGTACAATAATGATACACATATGGGGATGTACTTTGTGAAGATGATTTATATGGAAAGGCCCAGTTTTGATGATTCTGTTTTCAGAAATGTGTCTGGTGCCAAATGCGGCTACTGAACGGTGGTTTTTTTGTTTGTTTGTTTTTGTTTTTACTTTAAGAGAAAAGGTCAGTAGAGTCCTGACAAGGAGGGCTGAATGTGAAATATTGCTGAAGGCAGGATGAAATAATAAGAAAAATACCTTCTAATAAAAGAGAATTTGACATTTGCAAGATATTGAGTGCTGAAATGACTGTGCCAAATACCAGCCTATGCATGAAATTTTGGTGTAGAGAAAGATCAGTGGATTGGGGGTATGACCTGTTGGATTTGAGTCCTTCCCTGGATAAGCCATTGAACGTCAGGCTAAAAAATGGGAAGTTTAATAATTCTTCCTTACTCACTCCAAGGCTATTTGTAAGATACTGTGGGTAAAAATACCATCGACACTGTGAATGTGTTATTGGCCATATCTGGGCAGGACACTGGGCCTGGAGGGAGACCTGGAAAATAGTTATCAAGTACTGGTAGGCAGCATTCCTTGGCTAACACTAGGCTGCCTGTGGGGTCCAGGCCATGGTATATATTGCTCATCTGGCTACCTCCCTCCTCCAATAGTCAGCTCAGTGTAGTATACAAACATGAATTTGTGTAGTTTCTGCCCTCAAAGAACTACCACGGACCCCTGGCATCTGTGCCCTTTGCAGCATTCGGTCTCCTGTGCAATCTCACAAACCTATGAAATAGGTGGAGTATCCATTACTCCTATTTTACAAATGAAGGGATTGAGATTTTAGGAGACTAATATTTTATGGTTTCAGGGGTAACACATGATAGGCTTGGGACCGTGGCGGAAGCCGATCCATCCTTGCTGCTTGACACAGTCGCTGCAGGAAAGAAACATCTGCACAGCATATGTTTCAAGGGACCTGGCGTATACAGCATACTGTTCTTAGTATGTTTGCTCCCCTTAGCGCTATGTGTTTTAACCAAGGTCTCCTCTCCGAGAAAGGTTGTTTCCCCAGGTAGGGATTTTTCCCTGAAGTTAGGGAGGGAATAAAACCCCTTAACTAAATGCCAGGCGGGTAGTTAATCACTTTAACTACAAACAATCACCCTTAAACTACATAATCTTTACTCCCTGGAATGGAGATAACCAGAAGGCAGCTCTTCCCATGCTCTGTTTTGGGCTCTCACTGAGGAGGTCTCTAACCCTGCAGTAGCCCCTGTCTTCATGGGGAGTTGCAATAAGCAGACAGTAAACTTCTGCTAAGATGGATGGACTCTGCATTTGAGGTGTGTGATGGTGAATTGGGGAAGGATTGGGAAGTGCTTAGAGTAAGGTTGTTGGGAAGAACATTCTCCTGGTCCTACCTACTTGGCTGCATAACAATATGAAGCATCATGTAACTATGGTGTTCTGCTGTGTCTGGGTCACCGTCCTCTCCATCTACCACAGCACCGAGGGCAAGGTCCTAATGGCTGTGGAGATCTCCATGTTGGCTTCAAGTGCTGGATTAGTAGGCAGCCTTTTTACCCCAAAGTACTACATTATTCTGATAAGACCTGATAACGCTTCAGAAGGTTTAAGGAATAAAATAGGTCCCAGGAGAAATAGGCATTCAAGTTTTATCTCGTAAGTCTTTATCACATTTTTAGACTTTTGAAAAACAACTACCGTATTTGCCGGCGTATAAGACGACTGGGCGTATAAGACAACCCCCTAACATTTCCACTCAAAATACAGAGTTTGTTATATACTCGCCGTATAAGACTACCCCCTCTTCCGCACACCTTCCACACACCAAATAAAAGGTAAAACAATATCAGATTTGATTTTAACATTTTAATT